TATTTCCAAATTCTTGCCTGTAGTAGCTAGCTATTGTTCAATTGGAGCTACTACACCCATCAAAACTGGGAAAACTGTCTTTGTTGATTTTTAGTGAATTTTTCCAATTTCCTTTTTGTTGCTGTGAAGGGGAAAACAATATTTTTCCCAAATTCTTGCCTGTAGTAGCTAGCTATTGCTCAAATGGAGCTACTACACCCATCAAAACTGGGAAAAATATCTTTGTTGATTTTTAGTTAATTTTTCCAATTTCATTATTCCTACTGTGAAGGGGAAAACAATATGTTTCACAAATTCTTGCCTGTAGTAGCTAGGTATTGCTCAAAGGGAGCTACTACACCCATCAAAACTGAGAAAAATATCTTTGTTGATTTTTAGTGAATTTTTCCAATTTCCTTTTTGTTGCTGTGAAGGAGAAAACAATATTTTTCCCAAATTCTTGCCTGTAGTAGCTAGGTATTGCTCAAATGGAGCTACTACACCCATCAAAACTGAGAAAAATATCTTTGTTGATTTTTAGTTAATTTTTCCAATTTCATTATTCCTACTGTGAAGGGGAAAACAATATTTTTCCCAAATTCTTGCCTGTAGTAGCTAGGTATTGCTCAAATGGAGCTACTACACCCATCAAAACAGAGACAAATATCTTTGTTGATCTTTAGTAGAATTTTTCCAATTTCATTTTCGTTACTGTGAAGGGGAAAACAATATTTTTTCCAAAAGTTTGGCTGTAGTAGCTAGCTATCATTGAATGGGAGCTACTACACCCATCAAAACTGGGAAAACTGTCTTTGTTGATTTTTAGTGAATTTTTCCAATTTCCTTTTTGTTGCTGTGAAGGAGAAAACAATATTTTTCCCAAATTCTTGCCTTTAGTAGCTAGGTATTGCTCAAATGGAGCTACTACACCCATCAAAACTGAGAAAAATATCTTTGTTGATTTTTAGTGAATTTTTCCAATTTCATTATTCCTACTGTGAAGGGGAAAACAATATGTTTCACAAATTCTTGCCTGTAGTAGCTAGGTATTGCTCAAAGGGAGCTACTACACCCATCAAAACTGAGAAAAATATCTTTGTTGATTTTTAGTGAATTTTTCCAATTTCCTTTTTGTTGCTGTGAAGGAGAAAACAATATTTTTCCCAAATTCTTGCCTGTAGTAGCTAGGTATTGCTCAAATGGAGCTACTACACCCATCAAAACTGAGAAAAATATCTTTGTTGATTTTTAGTTAATTTTTCCAATTTCATTATTCCTACTGTGAAGGGGAAAACAATATTTTTCCCAAATTCTTGCCTGTAGTAGCTAGGTATTGCTCAAATGGAGCTACTACACCCATCAAAACTGAGAAAAATATCTTTGTTGATTTTTAGTGAATTTTTCCAATTTCATTATTCCTACTGTGAAGGGGAAAACAATATTTTTCCCAAATTCTTGCCTGTAGTAGCTAGGTATTGCTCAAATGGAGCTACTACACCCATCAAAACAGAGACAAATATCTTTGTTGATCTTTAGTGAATTTTTCCAATTTCATTTTCGTTACTGTGAAGGGGAAAACAATATTTTTCCCAAAAGTTTGGCTGTAGTAGCTAGCTATCATTGAATGGGAGCTACTACACCCATCAAAACTGGGAAAACTGTCTTTGTTGATTTTTAGTGAATTTTTCCAATTTCCTTTTTGTTGCTGTGAAGGAGAAAACAATATTTTTCCCAAATTCTTGCCTTTAGTAGCTAGGTATTGCTCAAATGGAGCTACTACACCCATCAAAACTGAGAAAAATATCTTTGTTGATTTTTAGTGAATTTTTCCAATTTCATTATTCCTACTGTGAAGGGGAAAACAATATGTTTCACAAATTCTTGCCTGTAGTAGCTAGGTATTGCTCAAAGGGAGCTACTACACCCATCAAAACTGAGAAAAATATCTTTGTTGATTTTTAGTGAATTTTTCCAATTTCCTTTTTGTTGCTGTGAAGGAGAAAACAATATTTTTCCCAAATTCTTGCCTGTAGTAGCTAGGTATTGCTCAAATGGAGCTACTACACCCATCAAAACTGAGAAAAATATCTTTGTTGATTTTTAGTTAATTTTTCCAATTTCATTATTCCTACTGTGAAGGGGAAAACAATATTTTTCCCAAATTCTTGCCTGTAGTAGCTAGGTATTGCTCAAATGGAGCTACTACACCCATCAAAACAGAGACAAATATCTTTGTTGATCTTTAGTGAATTTTTCCAATTTCATTTTCGTTACTGTGAAGGGGAAAACAATATTTTTCCCAAAAGTGTGGCTGTAGTAGCTAGCTATCATTGAATGGGAGCTACTACACCCATCAAAACTGGGAAAACTGTCTTTGTTGATTTTTAGTGAATTTTTCCAATTTCCTTTTTGTTGCTGTGAAGGAGAAAACAATATTTTTCCCAAATTCTTGCCTTTAGTAGCTAGGTATTGCTCAAATGGAGCTACTACACCCATCAAAACTGAGAAAAATATCTTTGTTGATTTTTAGTGAATTTTTCCAATTTCCTTTTTGTTGCTGTGAAGGAGAAAACAATATTTTTCCCAAATTCTTGCCTGTAGTAGCTAGGTATTGCTCAAATGGAGCTACTACACCCATCAAAACTGAGAAAAATATCTTTGTTGATTTTTAGTGAATTTTTCCAATATCATTATTCCTACTGTGAAGGGGAAAACAATATTTTTCCCAAATTCTTGCCTGTAGTAGCTAGCTATCATTGAATGGGAGCTACTACACCCATCAAAACTGGGAAAAAAGTCTTTGTTGATTTTTAGTGAATTTTTCCAATTTCATTTTTGTTGCTGTGAAGGGGAAAACCATATTTTTCCCAAATTCTTGCCTGTAGTAGCTAGGTATTGCTCAAATGGAGCTACTACACCCATCAAAACAGAGACAAATATCTTTGTTGATTTTTAGTGAATTTTTCCAATATCATTATTCCTACTGTAAAGGGGAAAACAATATTTTTCCCGAATTCTTGCCTGTAGTAGCTAGCTATCATTGAATGGGAGCTACTACACCCATCAAATCTGGGAAAAAAGTCTTTGTTGATTTTTAGTGAATTTTTACAATTAAATGTTTGTTGCTGTGAAGGGGAAAGCAATATTTTTCCCAAATTCTTGCCTGTAGTAGCTAGGTATTGCTCAAATGGAGCTACTACACCCATCAAAACTGAGAAAAATATCTTTGTTGATTTTTAGTTAATTTTTCCAATTTCATTATTCCTACTGTGAAGGGGAAAACAATATTTTTACCAAATTCTTGCCTGTAGTAGCTAGCTATCATTGAATGGGAGCTACTACACCCATACATTCTTGGAAAAATATCTTTGTTGATTTTTAGTGAATTTTTCCAATTTTATTTTTGCTACTGTGAAGGGGAAAACAATATTTTTTCCCAACATTTTGGCTGTAGTAGCTAGCTATTGTTCAAATGGAGCTACTACAAGCATCAAAACTGGGAAAAATATCTCTGTTGATTTTTTGTGAATTTTTCCAATTTCATTTATGCCACTGTGAAGGGGAAATCAAAATGTTCCCAAAATGTTGCCTGTAGTAGCTACCTATCATTAAATGGGAGCTACTACACCCATCAATTCTGGGAAGAATATCTTTGTTGATTTTTAGTCTTTATTAGTCGTTTTGACCTCTTGCAATTTGCAGACGGTCCCTTGCGAATATCAGGCGAATATCAAACGTTCGGCCAACTTCACCTCGGTCGAAGACGTTGCCACAAGCCTACAGAGTGCCACAGCGAGTGCGCAAGGTGCACTGGAATGTATAAGCGTGCTAAGAGAAAAAATAATCACACTCAGGAGTGATCCAGTTGTGAACGAACTGATTGGCAAGGTTGAAACACATCACAAAACTCGCTGAAAATGCCAGACATCACCCATAGAGTGAGCAAAACTCCAGCCCGCTTTCGCCAAACTAGAGAACCAGAAGCAGTTGCGCGCGGCGCACTGGTGGATTGGAGGCGTAGTTTTATTGAGGCTATTGATGTGATATCGTCTGAGCTGGACAGACGATTTGACCAGAGCAGTATGAAACTAGCTGCAAAGCGAGAGAGGGCCGTTGTCAAAGCAGCAGAGGGAATGTGCGTTAATCTGGAGGAACTGCAGCTCCCGGTGGAATTTGACACAGAGCGCCTTGAAGTCCAGCTCAAAATGCTTGTGCCATGCATCGCCACGCAAGTTTCCGATGTTACAAAAGGCAGAAGGTCAGAGAGTGTCACAGTCAAAGATGTAGTGTCATGTTTGACCAAGCTCCAACCACAAACTCTAAGCATGTTTTCAGAGGTGGAAAAACTGATGGAGTTATGTTTGTGCCTGCCAATCTCAGTGGCCTCATCTGAGCGCACTTTCTCCGCCTTGCATCTTTTGAAGACATGGGTGCGCAGCACAATGACGCAGAAAAGACTCACACATCTTTCACTGATACATGCCCACGTCGCGATTCTGAATTCTATGGACATTCGACCCCTCATGAAAGACTTCATCTTCACAACCCCAGAGCGCACCTCCACATTCGGACATCTGTAACTACAGGCTGCCGCGCGCTGTTGCTTCATGTTTGTTTGTTTCTTTATTTTTATTCTGATCCCCATTAGCTACTGAAAGAAACAGTAGCTATTCTTCCTGGGGTGTATGTTCGTGTTAACATGCGTATATTATTAAACGTATGAGTTGTTTGAGGTGGACAGTGTTCCTTTTCTAAACGATGAATGTATCTGTTATGTATGTTTAAATAAGCTTATAGGCTCAGAGGTTAGGTTAAAAAAACAAAATCACCCCCTGTTAAGAAATACTTCCCGCGGCCCTGGGAGCAGGGAGAAGCCAGAGAGGAGCGAGGAGGGGCCATAGAGCAAATGTGTGTGACTAACATGGACAAAGCGGTCATATCCACTTTAAAGAGGGGTTTGTCCTGAAAAACTTCAGAGAACCAGATTTTTCAGTGTGTGTGTGTGTGTGTGGTGTGTCCAGGGGCTTTGGGCCGACTGCACCCCCGTTCCTGGACTATCTCAAAGACATCCTGCGGCGATACCCTGACGGCGGACAGATCCTTAAGGTACGCCATCCAACAGCACCATCCATGCTCCCTGTGGCCATGCTGCCGTCTGTAAACGCTCATCAGGTTATATTCAACAGGAACTGATTCAAAATGCTGATGATGCCAACGCCACTGAAGTCAGATTTATCCACGATGACAGAAGCTACGGGACACAGAGCCTCTGCAACCAATACTTGGCAAAATACCAAGGTGCCAAATAGATATTATGACTGGTATAATTAACCCCTGGTAACACCCCTGACCTAGCCTGGTCGTACCACACCAGAGTACAAATGATATTTTGTACTAAGGTCTGGACATGCTCCATTGAGCTCCGTTTATAGGTGGGAGGGGTTAACTCTTTTTGCAGATTGAAACGATTGGATCTGAGTTTACCGTGACGTATGTAGTGCGCCCGAGTCTGTTGTTAGGATTTAGCCTAGCCATCTCCTTTGCTGCTAACGGAGCCCGTGGGGAGTAGCGCCACGATCTTTACCAGCGACTACATTTGCTAAACATTCCTCTTGCTCCTGCGTCAATTTCTTGATAGAACCAAACCGGAATACTTTATGATACGACAACAAAGTTGATCATTGACCTCCGGCCTAGGGTGTCCTGGTGCCACGTGCACTGGTGGACAACCTTGTGCTCGAACATGGTGTGACAAACCGTGACTGGCACAGAAGTCCAACAACTGAACACCGCTCGGGTTCAGATTAGGGGGGCCGTTCTTCCCAAGCAATCACCCCTCTCCAAGTGTCACTGGCATTTCCCACATGGGCGTTGAAGTTCCCCAGGAGAATAACTGAGTCCCCGGGTGGTGTACTGTCCAGTACACCTCCCAAGGACTCCAAGAAGGCCGAGTACTCTGCACTGCTGTTTGGCCTCTCAAGGAGTTGGGTTCCAGAGCCCAAGCTGGTTGTGGTGGTGAGGCCGACTATCTAGTCAGTATCGTTCAACCTCCCTCACGAGCTGGGCTCCTTCCCCCCCAGTGAGGTGACGTTCCACGTCCCAAGAGCCAGATGTTGTGTGTGCGGACTGGGTTGCCGAGGCCTCTGCCTTCGACCGCTGCCCAGTCCTCTCTGCACTGCGCCACCACGGACCCCTCTGCAGGTGGTGGGCCCACAGGAGGGACTGCCCACGTCGACCTTTCGGGCTGAGCCCGGCCGGGCCCCGTGGGCTAAGGTCCAGCCACCAGGTGCTCGCTTGCGAGCCCCGACCCCAGGCCTGGCTCCAGGGTGGGGCCCCGGCTGCGCCATGCCGGGCGACGTCACTGTTGTCCTTATTGTGCTGTCCTGGCAACTCAAAGTGCTGAACAAAATATGAAAGCATTCAAATAAATAAATGTTGATAATGTGATTGACAGAATGCAAAGGAGGTGCTTTCTGATTGATGACCTTTGGTTTCATTAGCAGTGGTGGCCCCACCCACAGCAGGGGCAACACTCTTGACCTGCTAAATTACAAAGGGGGTTAATGTATCATATGTTCATGTAGATGAAGTTGCTTTGTCAGATCATTTCTGTGTATTTTTTGAATGTGTTTTGATAGCAAACCACCAGCTGAATTTACCAAATGTTAGAAAGAAGACACATACATGAAAACACAAGTGAACTGTTCTGGGAATGCTAAATTTTGAGAACTCCATGGCTCTAATGTTGATGAATTGTATAAACTCTGTCACCACAGTGTTCTGACGTTCTGGACGCCATTGCTCCTGTGACGGTTTAAAATAGGTTACCAGTAAGAAAAAGGCCCCATGGACTAAGGCAGACTCGGTTTAGGGCACAGAAGCTAGAGTGCCGGAGGGCCGAACGGAAGTGGCGAAAAGTCCAATTTCCAGGACGATTATGAAATCTTTAAAGATGAGTTGGTGAATTTAACCGGGTTCTACGTAGAAACAAGAGAAATGCTATTTTTATTGACATTATTGGAGGTTGCAGTAACAATTTTCGTGTTATGTTTTCACAGTTGGTAGATTAACGAACCCCCTGTAAAGTTGCCCTAGATTTTTACTCTAAATCTGGTGTAATGAGTTCGGCCACAGTTTTCGATGACAAAGTACAAGGAATCAAAAACACTATCACCTTCCACAGCACGTATAACAATGCAACAGCCAGAGAAGCTTTTTGAGCTAACTCACTTATGCACCTGTGGTACTGAAACTGTCAAAAGATAATCATGAGTCTGTAGCTCCTCCACATGTAGCCTGGATATATTGCCCTCTAAATTTCTGAAGTCCGTCCTGAGCAGTTTAGTTACCTTCACTGACACAAATGTCAAAACATGTCTCTGTCGTCAGGAACATTTTCCTATGGCCCTAAAAAAACAGCAGTCATAAGACCTCTCCTAAAAAGAAGCAGTTGGATCTGCGGGGAACTTCAAATTTATCGCCCACCCCATATCGAATCTGCCCATTTTATTGGAAAAATTCTTGAAAAGTGCCTCCCAACAACCTTACTGGAATTTTAACATTGAATAATTCTTTTGATATGTTCCAGTCTGGGTTCTGACCCCACCACAGCACTGAGACCGCTCTTGAAGGTAACAACGCCATTCGACTTCACATGATGGCAGGTAAAGTCACAGTTTTGGTCATGTTAGAATCTTAGGGCCGCGTTCGACACTGTCGACCATGAGATCCTCATGCAGAGACTGCGAGGACTGGGCTGGTGTCACTTGCACAGCCCTAGGACTGGTTTAGGTCGTACCTGGGGCTAGGAAGTACTCTGTGGAGATTGGAGACTGGTTCAGTATGATGTGGCCCTGACTGTGGTGTACCACAGGGTCGATCGGGGACCTCTCCTATTAATCTCTACATGCTGCCGTTAGGTCAGTTAATCAAGAAACAAAGTGTCCTACCACAATACGCTGACGACATCAGTTCTTATGTCCTCACTGACTGCAGGAGAAAATGGACCACTGGATTTGCTCCTTCACTTGTATCCAACAGATCAGTGACAGGATGCAAATTAATTTTCTCCAGCTATCTGCAGACAAAACCGACATCATTGTCTTTGGTCCAGAAACAAGAGAGGGCGTCATTTGTCAACTTCAGTCTCTCTCCCTAACTTCCTTCAGACAGGTCAGAAATTTGGGGGTAATACTGGACTCTGACCTAAATTTCAATAGCCACATAAAATCATTAAACATCACAGCTTTTACCATCTGAGAACATTGCCAAAGTTAGAAATATAGTGTCAGGGCGACTTGGAGATTCTTGTCGCATTGTCTCCAGCAGGATAGACTACTGCCAAATGGCCTGCTTACAGGTGTCCAAAACAGACCTGTAAGCAGCTGCAGTACATCCAAAATTGCAGCAGCTAGAGTCCTGACAGGAACCAGGAAGAAGACAATATTAGTCGGTCCTCAGGTCCTCTGCACTGGCTTCCTGTGGTCTCAAAGAATAGATTTTAAAAAACGGATCTGCTTGTAGTACAAGTCCTCCACATGGACTTGCACCAGAATACATTAGTGACATGTTGGTGGTCATATGAACGGCCCGGACTCTGAGGAGCAGAGGGACTGGCATCCTGTGCTGGTGCCCAGAGTGAGGAAACCAAACATGGGGAGCTGCGTTTCAGATCCATTGCAGCTAAGATCTGAACAATCTCCCTGAAAAATGTGAGGGAGGCGTCTACTCTGTCAAATGTTCAAATCCAGGTTAAAGACTGTTCTGTGTGCCTGTGGCATTAACTGAAGGATTTTATCTCCCATTTTTAATGCACTGCTGTCATTTATTATTTTTTTTAAATTTCTTGTGTAATTTTGAAAGTTGTACTGGGTGTTTTATTCTTTGTGTGATTTTAATGTTTAATTGATGTTTTAATCTTTTGGTGTGATTTTAATGTTTAATTGTGAATTGGTGTTTGTTTTAAGTGATGATTTGATGAGTTGTGGGACTGTGAAGCGCTTTTGTTGCCCTTGTATGAAAAGGGCCCGCCGCCACTCTACAAATAACTTTGATTTGATTGATTGATATTAATAAATGCACGTATATTTTGTCTATTCAAATTGAGGGGCTAGACTGCAAATGTAGGTCACCAGCCCACCTGCGAAACTAGTGGTGTGTTGACGGGTGCGATCATGATGTTGTCACCCTGCGTGCCTTTTACGTGACTCGAACGTGGACAATAAACGTTGGACACGGAATATTTTTTGTATAGTTCTGGTCATTTAAGAGTGCAACACGAATCTTGGTGTTCTGATCGGTGGAGATCGCATCGGGAACGACGGTGTTGTGGAAAAAGAGACAGAGTTGGGAGTTTACGCTAAAGCCACCAGCTGCAGGCCAGGAGCGCATCGCGCACTCACTGAGACTGAAGCTGTTACTGTACGCTTACGGTAAAAACCATTTACAAATTATGTCTACTACAAGCGGAAGATGTCGGAGAGTTGGGAGAATGCAATGGGACGGATTGAGGAAAATTAATGCTTTGTCTGCTGCGGATTTATATGATCTTTTGTTCAATCTTGGGAGCATCAGTGAGTGAAGAGGACCAGACCTTACTCAGTGCAATGGGACTATCAATACAGAATCTGGAAGGAGAAAAGATGTTGATCATCGCTCGACGGATGGAAGGATTATCGTTGTTGCTCATAGTTACTGACCGGCATTGATGAATTAAAGAGTTTACCACTCAGCTACTCTGCTGCGCCAGCTCTCCCTCTGCTGGATACAGCAGGTGCTGCATCACATCCCCAAAGTGCACTGCTGCCCCACTAATTCAGGTGCGTTTCCCATGTGACTCTGACTCCATTAATGCCAACCCACCATTTGTGCACCAATTGTACAGAAAGAATAACCGATAATGGGACAGATTGGTGAACCACATCAAAAAGACAAACTTGGATATCCAGTTTGTGAGAGTCAAATCCAAAAAGCACTAACTATAAGTTTACAGTGAGTCGGACTAGAACTGGACTCCAGGGGAAGACACCAATTCAGTTTGTGCTCCCGGAGCAATGGACTTAAGACGGCAAATTTTATTTGCATCCAAAGGGCGAAAGTGGACTCAAATACAGCGGATTTAATCAAAGATAAATTCCTTGCAAACTGTACATTACGAGGCTGGATTGACGACACCATAAGAACTGGAATTTTTAAAGCCATATCTACGAGATTCAAATGTGTCTGAAGTGCTGTTGCGAGAAAGTTACAGATGCATACACACTGGACATGGAATGAAAAAAACCATTAGCGACCAAGTCAAGAGCAGTGA